AAAAAAAAAAAGGAAGCAATCCAACCTCACGTCCAGCAAACACCAGCTCAAAAGCCAACTGCGTCTATCAGCCCTGGGAACACTCAGCAAGGCCGTGAAACAGGAGCCCGCTAATTTAGCAAGAACTGGTCCTACAGCTCAAGGTAAGAGGCCAAGACCCTTCCATTCGTCCAGGGTGACTGAGCGACTGGGGACTGAGGAGTCTCGCGAGGCTCGTGAAGCCGCTGGTGCTGTCCCGAGCTCATGCTCAGGTTACAAAAGGGACGGAAGGTTAGGTGTCCCAGAGGGAGGGAGGAGGTCGCATTTCCCGATTTCGGACTGGGCGGGGCGGTAACCCTGAAGGGAGGGATCCAGCAGCACGTGGGGCAGACGGCCAGAAAGCCCAGAGATCAATGGGATCGCCCTGAGCCAGGCAGGGTCATCTGTCCTGCCGGGAAGGAGGTCAGCTGGGGGTCCGGGGGTCCTGGGGCAGTAACATAGAAGACGCAACAGATCCCCTCTGGGAACAGCAGTCCATCGGCCCGGTGTGTCCGCACAGCCACCCGGCGAGCTCTGCGGGGACGGACGTTGCAAACCTCCGCCAGTGCCTCAGGTCTGCGGGGTCAGGACACCCCACTCAGTCGTCAGAAGGGGGAAAGCTGAGGAGGGTGGGCGGAGGGTCGGGGCGGAGGGTTGGGGCGGGCAGGCATAGCTAGGGGCCTGGCCCGTCCGCGGGGACCAGTCAGGTGCGCGGAGCAGCCCCGGCACCCACCGCCCCGCGCCCCAACAGACCTTCATAGAAGCCGTCTTCGTCCATGTCCCCGTACACGTAGAGGTACTTCCCCGCCGTGAGGGGCAGCTCAGCTTCCGGGTTCTCATTCGGCCCATCGAAGGGGTTGTAACTGGAGGAAGAAGGACACTCGTGGAGCAGGTGCTGCACGCGGAGGGCGGTGGGCACCTGCACCCCCGCGCCAGCCGTGTGCACGCCAGGAACGGCGGCAGCACCCGCGCTCTCGCACACACTCAAAACAGAGAGAGAATTCTGAAACTGAGGCGGACGCTCGGGGTCCCCGTGCCACATGACACACTGAAGACCCTGATCTCAGTTCGTACCCGTCACGTCTGCCCTAAGTGTTCGCATTAGTAAGCAAAGAAGAATCATTAACCCTATAATCTTTCCGTACGTACCGCTTAGCAAAGGTAGGACCACACCGCATTTACTTTGCAGTAATCTGCTTATTCTTTCCACTTTCCAGTATGCGTGACCCTCCCTCTAGCTCATGAAATATTCTATTGTGACCCTTTTTTAAAAAATTTTTAAGGTTTTTTTTTTTTTGAGAGACAAAGAGAGAGAGAGACAAAGCCTGAGTGGGGGAAGGACAGAGAGGGAGACACAGAATCCGAAGCAGGCTCCAGGCTCCGAGCTGTCAGCGCAGAGCCCGACGTGGGGCTCAAACTCCCGAGCTGCGAGATCATGACCCGAGCCGAAGTCGGGCGCTCAACCAACTGAGCCACCCAGCCGCCCCTCTGTCATGACCTTTTTTAATGGATGTGGAATATTCCACTGAACAGACTGGCATACTTCACTTAACCGATGTCCTAACACTAGGCACCAATGCGGCCTCTAAACTTCGGTTAATACAATCACCATTGCGTCAAATATTCTCGTAAACGTGACGTTTTTTACAATCATGCCCGATGTGCAAATAAGACATACAGTAAACGAAATGGGGATTTTTTTAAATTAGTTTAGAATAACGGAGAAGGCCCCAATAAAAATTAAAACAGCATCTGCTGATAGTCAAAGACGATAGGCACGTGTGGTGGAAATATAATAACGAAGCGATAGCGACTCGCACGCCAACAGTACCAGAAAGCTCACCAGCACTTCCGTGTACGTTTTACGAGATCAGCGTTCCATCTCGGCGAGACGAGCGGAGAAGATACTATTTCTCCCAATTTGAATCACAGAGTGAGGTCAGGGGCACCCGCCCAAAGTCACAAGCTCACAAAGAGGCCCGGGATGGGGATGCTGGGGACCAACATCAAGGTCTCCTGACCCCTGTCCTCTGCAGGTTTAACGGCCCCAAGTCACCGTGCCCCTCACTGTCCGAGCCCAGGGTCTAGGGAAGTTTTGCAACAGTCTGATGGTTTTACTGAGTCAGTAACTGCCAGGGGCCATCTGCATAAGGAAGAGACGTAGATGGATGTTTGATGTGATAGCCCAGCGGGCGGATGAGGAGAGTAAGCAGCTCCCGGCAGAGGGAATGGCGCGTGCAAAGGCCCAGAGGCAGGAGCAGGGTCCCTCTGGGGCGCCAAGAGTCAGCCTGGCTGGAGGAGGGTGCTGACCGCAGGAGCGCCGAGGGATAGGGACTGGCAGGGTCCCCGTGGGTGTGAATTTGATCTTCGGTGCTGGGAGGTATCAGGATTTAAGGCAGGAAGTGATGTGACCACACCTGCATTCGGTAGAGACACTCAGGCGCCCCATGGATGGGGAGCCGGCAGGTGGCAGGTGGGGCGAGGACACTGGATCAGGAGTGGCTCAAGAGGTGATGGAAACGGGCTTTGGCGGGGGGAGGCTGAAAGCTGAGTCAGGGTGGGCAGATGGGGTCACACGTACTGAGCCGGGTCCACGGTCAGGCGCGGCTGCACCGAGAAAGCGGGGCGAGGGTCAGTTCGGGGTGTCTCGCGTGATGCACCGAATGTGCGAGCTCAGAGTTCTGTGTCTGCAAAGCCGTTTGCACAGAGCGATGGTGGTTTCGGGCGGGCAGGAGAGGTGGGGGCAGAGGCAGACGGACCGCAGGCGACCATCCCAGGAGGTGACTGCGCCAGCCACTGAGGCGGGGGCGGCCTCAGGCAGGTATTGTCTCGTTTCAGGTTTGGGGAAACCTCCACAGGCTTATTGAATGATGTCCGTGTTTGGTCCCAGGGGATCCCCCCAAACTCCTGCCTCTACCCTCAGAACCACCCCAGCGGGGGTGGTAAGGTACGAAGAGAACTCAGACGCGCAAAGTTCTCTCTGCGCTATTCGGTCTCACGTGGTTCGGGCTTCTTTGGCAGGGTGGCTGAAAGAGTCACAAAGCCAGCACCAGCACCACATCAAGGGCACCAACAAAGAAGAGAACGAACGAGGGGACATCGTGCACTTGGGCCGTGCCTGGTGACGGCAACGGCAGACGGAAGCCGGTTGGTCAGCCCGTCTTCTTCCGTGCCCGACTTCACGCTGGCTACAGAACACATCCATGGGGTGCACCGGCTGTTGGGCCCCTGTTCCCGGAATGAGACCTCGCCTCTCCTGGAAGAGGAGGGAATGTGAGCCCAGGGCACACGGCACGCGGGGAGGCTGGGGAGTGTGGCTCGCCAGGGCGCAGGCCAGCTGGGAAGTGAGCCAGTCCCGAGAGCCCAGTTCAGCACGAGAGCCATTACGAAGGGCTCCCACTGGAGAAAACGGAACGCGTGCCAGGTATACCGACCGGCGGAAACCAAGGACGAGAGGCTGGGTCCTCATCGAGCGTGAGGAACGGGAGACGTGAACTATGTGGTTTATGGCTAACTCCTTCCCGTGGCAGAATCTGGTCTCGGGCTTGCCAGCACTGTCCCCAGGTAGCGGAGTTGTGGGGAGGCAGCTACCCCACACCCGTCTCAGAATTGGGGGGGTCATTCCCCACAAAGACTCTGAGGGTCGTTCAGACCAGATGGCTCCTTAGTTCCCACTGAGCGTGGACACCACAGGACCCCAGCGAGAAATTAGCGAGGGGCGCCTCGCAAGTGTGAGGACCCCAGAAAGGCAGTAAACGGGGGCTCTGGACAAGAATGTGCCCCTGTGAGTTTCAGCTTGCCACCTGCCGAGGGCTAAACCGTCCCCCTGAATGTTGGTTCAGGTCCTAGCCCCCCAGTGTGGGGAACATGACCTTATTTGGAAATAGGGTCTTTGCAGATGCGATCAGGATGGGGTCGTGCTGGAGTCGGTGGGCCCCCATCCGGCGACTGGTGTCCTTACTGACAGAGAGAGAGAGAACGAGCAGATGCACAGGGATGTGGCCACGTGAGGCCGGGCAGAGACCACAGGGATGCACCCATAACCCAGGGACGCCTGGAGCACCAGAAGCTACAAGAGCCCCCAGTGAGCACAGCCTTGCTGACCCGATCCCGCACTTCCCGCCTCCAGAGCCGCCAGAGAACGTGCTTCTGCTGGTTCAAGTCTCCCACTTTGCGTAAGTCGTTAACGGCCGTCCTGAGAAACAAATCCACCTTCTACTCGCTTTCCATCAGAACCGACAACAGACCTTCCCCGTCTCCCGAGTCTGGCCGAACTGCCTGCCTTCGGCCGAGGACCCAGGGAGGGTGGGGAGGGGAGCACGCCCAGACCCGCGGCCCCATCAGCCCCAAGGCACCCCCCGCACGTCCACGGATGCTCGGAGATGCAGAGAGGAGCTTCGTGCTTACCTGTAGCGGGCGACACACAGGTGGACTTTCCCCGAGTGCCTCTGCTGCTTGGAGGTACTGGAACTGCGTTCATTATCCATCTGGTAAAGACACAAACCACCTTCAGGTTACGCGGCGGCGGGGGTCACGTTCTTGCGGGAAGCACACAGGAAACCCTTCAGTCTCGCTGAGCCTTCTCGCCCCAGACCGCGGAGCTCCCACGAGCCCCGACTAGACCAACTTCTGTGTCTTGGGCACCGGCCCGGAGATGAAGCGGCTCCCTCAGTGTGGGCCCCCTGGTCACACAGAAGGACGTTTATAAAGAACGCATCTTCCCGAGCCAAGAGTGGACCAGACGTGGGGCCCCCCAACACGGGGTGTGGGACTCGCCGGGCAGACCGTGCGAGATCGCCAGGCCCTACCGGGCATCTGTGGACACAGACACGGACAATGACCCACGGCCTCTGCTCACAGGGGCTCGGCCCTGCGAGGGAGACAGACACCGTCCGCCGCGATCACGTGTCAGAGGGTGCCTGGTGCTGTGGGGCTGAGACAACTGGGAATACTGCATGGAGGAGGTGACACGAGGGCCGATGAAGACCAGATATGGGAATTTACGGGAGGAAGGGAAGACGCCCGGAGGGAGAGGGAGGAGGGGGGAGGAAGGAAGGTGAGAGGACCATCGTGTTCCCACCAGACGGATCCGCATGGGCGGGCCAGAACTCACGTCTGATTCAAATCTGCATCTTGGGCTAGCGGATCTCGACAGAAAGGTGGGCTTGATGGGCAGAGGCTCCGGCTTGTCACCAGGGAGCGGGAGGGGCCGGATATAGTCCCCGGTCACAGCGCGGCTTCCGACGGTGCTCTCCTGACCTGGCCACGACATCGAGACAATTTGAACAAGGATGCCAGTGAGGTGACAGACGCGTGGGTCCTTTGACTTTCCAGCGTGCCCGTCCCCCTCGCTGGCACCAGCCTCAGGTTTTCATCTTGGGAGCTGCCTGCTTCCTGCCCTCAGTCCCCACTGGCCACCTGACCCCATGCCCCGCCAGGCCATCCCCCCGGCAGAGTCCACTCCTGGCTGTGAGGATGGTCTGGTGGCGATGGCAGTGTTAAACATGCTGTGGGAAGGTCCAGCCACGGGGAATTAAAAGAAGCCACAGGGAAAGAGCCTCTCCTTTTCCCTGGCTGCAAACTGAGAGGCTGTGAGGCCTGGTGATGCTGCAGCCACATTGCCCCCAGGAGGCGGAAGGTCTGTCCCACCAGAACTGGCTCCTAGAAGGGCAGCCGCCAGATGGGTAGGAAACGCATCCTGGGGGCGCAGGTGGAGCCCCCGAATCCAGCTGTGCGGGAGCCAGACATACTGGCTCATCTACTCCAGGTGATAAGCAAGTTCCCTGCGGCTCACACCCATTTAGATCAGCATCACGGTCATTTACGACCCAAAGTGTCCTAATTTACATACAAAGCGGCCAAGAGGCTGGGAATGTTTAGAATTCCAAGGAGAAGCACAGGAGCAGTGATTCCCTCCCTGACCTCTCTGTCCAGCCTCTGTCCACAGTGGCCAGACCTCGGGATCATCTCACCGAAGATTCAACCTGCCGAGTCCACGCTGGGAAAGGCCAAATGATTCGCAGTAAGGTGGGAAGTGTCCCTACAGAGGCTTTCACCGGCCAGGGGCCCCGCGGCTCCGGCCCGGTTAAAAGAACTGTGGGATAACACCCCTGAAATGGAATCAGGACAGAACAGACACAGGGCCCTGCTGGGGCGTCAGATCCCAGAGAGCAGAGGTGTGGCCTGGTCACTGCCGTCTGTCCCCACTGCTCACGGCAGCGCTCGGCATACAGCAGGTGCAAAGTGATGCTGCGCAAATGCGCGCCCAGGAGCCCCGGGGCACCAGCTGAGGAGGAGGAAAGGCCAACCTCTGACCCACGGCCGGTCTGACCCCCTGGCAGTGGAAGTCACGAGTCCCGCTTTTGGACAGAAGCTGTTTGAGCAGGTGCACAGTCGACTGTTTCCTCTTTGAAGGAACATTCCAGACAGAGAGGCTGTGCCTCCAGCCCAGCACTCCTGAGGGAGAACAGTGGGGCCAGTGCCCTACGCCAGCCTCAGAGGAACGTGGAGCCACGGTCAGCAATGCCACAAGGGCAAGGGTGAAGCCAGGGGCGCGTGGGCCCTGCCAATGGCGCCCCCTCGTGGGGCGAGGTCACCGACTGTTACATGAGCTACGTCCATCCAGGCGGCTGTGTGGAAGGCTTGCTACAAACCTATTCGCACACCAGGATCTCATCGATCCACCTGGTGGCGACCCAGAACCACTGTGGGTCTGAGTGCCCACCTTCCACCACCGCGGGTCACACCCTGTTCTCCAGATTGTTTCAATACCGAGCCACTCCCACTGGACGCACGTCTGCATGCCTCACGGAGGCGCGCACACAGCAGCCCAAGACACCATGGGGAGAAGGGATGGCTGGCCACGTGGGCCGGGGTGGGCACGCGACGGTGGGTCGGGTGCTCTGCTGTGACCAGCCTGCAGACCCGACGTGGGCGAGGACCCGCCTGCCCCGGCGGTCTGGGGCTCTGGTGCACGCCAGGCAGAGGTTCCACGTGACAGGCCCCTGTTAAACCCTGGGTGCCACGAAACCACAGGCTTCCCTGGGCCATAACTCTGCACTCAGAGGCTGCGTTTTTCAGTACACACGGGCGTTCTGCGTGGCCTCCAGGCACCCTGTCCCTGTCCCTGAGGATCTGACGTGTCCCCGTCCCGTGTCAGGATCTTGAAAAGCATCACCAGCCAACCTCATGCGGCCACCCGGCCTAAGAACGTTTGTCTCATCTAGTGACAGCTGAAACTGTCCCACCCCTTCTCATCCTTCAGATGGCACAGCCCAACGTCCTTTCCTAGAGCCAGGCCTCTTCGTCCGCCTGGTCTGAAGCAGTCCTGGGTCACTTTCTAGCTTGTCACTCTGTCCTCACGCATCTGTCCCCTTGTCTGTCTCCAGCCACCGAGAGGCGTTTCCACAGGGACCTGGCCAGCTGGCTGACCTCACAGCCGCAGGCCTGACACACGGGCTAGGTGCACCATGCCCTCGGAACACCTTGGAGGGGTGTGCAGACCCTCCTCCCTCTGCCCTGCTGCTCACAGCCACGTGGCACATAGCTAATGACTGAGCGGGAAGGACGGGGCACGTCATTTATCAAGACAAAGGCAGCCTCGCTTTGTCTTAATATCACGAGGCATCAGAAAGAAACGATCACGTATTTTGATGCCAACAGGGAGAAATCTGGACGTTCTCTCTCCAACGGAACTCAAAAGGGGGGGGACTCTGACACTCATCTCCCCAAATTAAAAACAACAGTAACTTTTAAATAGGCGGGTATTCTTGCAACCCCCGTGTCCTGGGACAGCTGCCCCTGGGCGGGGAGCACAGTCCCGACTGATCAAGGCAGCCTCTGTGCCCCAGCTGGAAGCCGCGGCGAGGCCTGAGGACACACGTCTGCGATCTCCATGCTGGATACAAAGACGAAATCCCTCCCCCGACGTACGAGGTCCATCCCCATCCTGCGTCCTGAGCACAAGTGTGACAGGGGGGGCGCTCAATTCACCGCCGTCACCGTCGCCGCCTGAGCAGGAACGGAAATCGGTCCCCACACGGAGGGGGCAGGGCACGAAGGTGGGAGGCGGCCGCAGCCCAGCGGTGCACCTCGTGGACCCCGGCCTCGCCCCGGTCTCTCTCCAGGGTACATGGCCGCGCGAGGAGCGTGTCTGCCGACGGCATCGCGTGCTCAGAACGGGGGCTGGTGCACCGTGCGTGCGCAGTGACTGCGGCTGGCCCGCCATCACTCGGAGCCCTGGGACGCCGGTGCCTAGGCCGGCGGGTCGGACAGACGCTCACTACGCACGCCCAGATGCGGGGTCACCGGCCATCCCTCCTCCGCCACGCACTCACCTTTGCCGATGGAGGGGCTGAGTCCGTTCATGAATTGCGGGAAAGGCTTGCCGGGCGCGGGGATGTCTACGGAGACGCCAGGGCTGACTCCCAGCAAGTCGATCTTCCCGGCGTGCTGCCGGAGCCTCTCCAGGTCCTGCGACAGCAGGCTGAACTGCTCACTCTGCGTCCGGCATTTCTCCTCCAGCTCCCGAACCTTGCTCTGCATGGCAGACGCACGGACACGCGGTCGGGGGCGGGCGGTGGGGGACACGTGTGTCTGTGCGTCTGCGTGTGAAAGCGTGTGAACGCGTGTGTGCACACGTGTGATGCCTCCCACCTCCACAGGAGGACAGTGTCCCATCAAACCAAGCGGCCTGAGCGGCCTGGCCGTTGTTCCTCACCAGACAGACGTGGGAAACCACAGGTGCAGAGAAACCCTACGGACGGTCAGCTCCCAGCCAACCGTGGATTGTTCTGGGCTGTGTGTGCGGCCCAGGGACTGGTGGTGGACACGCCCCACCGGAGCCATTTGAAACTTGGAGTGCGAGGCAATGACACAGCCCAGACACGGGGGCAGCCCGGCTACTAACCCGCAGACCCGTTCATGGAACCTAACCCCAAAGAAGTGCTTTGGCAATAACCGGGAACTTCCACCTGCTGCATTCGGTCAGCAACATAGCCGCCATCTGCAGACATCCAGAGGGGTCTCGGGAGCACCGGGGAGGGCGGGGGGCTCCCCCAGACACGCATCAGGGAAGGGGCAGCTCCCTGCTGACTGCCTGCTCCTGTCCCAGCCGGTTCTCAGGTCGGGGGGCTGGAGACACACTCCCCGCTCCCCACTCACGGACCACACTTCCCATCCTGGTGCAGACACAAGGCTTTGCCAAGGGGACCAGAGCGTCCCGCACTGTCCACGGCGGGGCGGGGCGCACGCCAGGGAGGGAGGCGAGCAGGGTCAGCTCCACCCCTTCCCTGCGGTACCGCCCCCCTACGCTGCTGCATTAGCTCCTGGGCTATTTCTCCTCCGTCTCCCGCACCGTGAGCTCCAAGCCTCTCTGGTTCCCTCCCTGATACAGCCTCAGTGCTTTTCACGGAATCAGGCCCACAGTAGGTGCTCGACACGTCTGCCGAATCCACGAAAGGGGGAACCGATTTGCTGTGCGGGGGGCTTACTTCGTCTGCACAAAAGTCCTGCCTTCGCTCCGTCCCTTATTCCATGATAAACGGCAAATCCCATTTACTGTGTTATTGATTTGCCGTACTGCCCGGTTCCCCCACTAACGTGCCAGCCCCACGAGGGCAGGAGCTGCTGGCTTTCCTGCGTCATCCCCAGCACTTGGAACAGAGCTCGGTGGCGAGTCCACCTTCAGAAGGCGTGTGGTTCACACAGGTGTGCATGCAGGAGGGTGGGGACAGCCAGGGATGGCCCGCAACTGTGGAGAGCCAGCAACAGAGGTGCCTTTCCTTCCCCCCCTCCTCTTCCCCTCCCCTTCTCCCTCCCCCTTCCCTTCCTCCTCCCCCCTTCATCCTCCTTTTCTACCCCTCTTCCTCCTTCTTCCCTCTCCTCCTCCTCCCCCTCCCCCCTTCCCCTCCTCTGGCATTAAGCTTCCCAGCTCCTCAGTATAGAACGAAGTGCTATTTGTGTCTGAGATCAGGGATTTCTAAAAATAAACCTAACAAACCCCAAGCCTATAATTAATTTCTTTGATTCATTAAAAAAAAAAAAAAAAAAAAAAAAAAAAAAAAAAAAAAAAAAAAGCAGCAGGCTTCTTTTAAAAAGCTGAATGAGCTTGTCTGTGACAGCTGTCTCCAGCGAGGAAGGCAGAGAAGCGACATCAGCCAGAGCTCCCAGGCGCAGGCGAGGGACACTGGGACGGCGTCAGACCTGCCCCCAGCCCAGGCCGCCGGGACCCAAGTACGGGGTAACATCTGCCCCAGGGCAGAGCCGCGAGCCCTTGGGGGACAGGCAGGCGGGCTACCCCCCTCGGGCGAGGGGCGCTGGAAGGCCTGAGCTCCCCTGGGTTATCCAGGTGGGCTCCCAGGTGCCGGTGCTGGTGTGTGGGGTATCAGGTGGCTCGTGGGAGAACACGAGCACCACTGAGATGGCCGTGAGTTCATTTTCACGTGCGTCACGACAAATTCCGGCAGATCAAATCCGCAGCACTGTGTGCACGTGACAAGTGACCTTGCTAAAAACAGCAAACAGATTCCTCGCTTATGTGACACCCTAGAAATGACAAAACCATAGTGACGGACAACAAATCAGCGGTTGCCGGGGCCGGGGCCGTGGGAGGGCGTGACTCCCAAGGGGTACCAGGAGGGGGTGTCTTTGGGGCGATGGGGCATCCCTATTCCCACGGTGGCGACACGAATCTCTACGTACAACCGACCCCACGGAACTTCACACAAGATGGGGAAGAGGATGAACGTAGAAACGGGCAAAATCCACGTAACGGCTTGTAGCCTGGCGGCCCGGCTTGCGCCAACACGGGCTCTGGGCCTGAGAGTGCGTCACGGCCCCAGGAGCCGGGCGAAGGGAACGTGGGAAGGATCGTAGCGGTTTATGTACCTTCTTGTGCGTCTCAAATTATTTCAAGATAAAAAGTTTTTAAAAATGAGCAGATTCAACGAAAGTACGAAATGATGCTGCAGGCGGCCTGCAGGCGCCAGGAACGTCTCGGTGGCGCGTGAACGGTGTTGCGTGCAGAGCGCGGCCGAGGTCCTGACGGGTCGCCGCTGGATCCTGGCGCCTGAGACACACGTGGGGCCGGCCGGAGCTGTCTGGCTTGGGGTTTCCGGGACAGGGCGGGGCACAGAGGTGGAGGAGGGCGACCGAGCTCCCCTGGCCGGGCCCCACAGGACTCAGACACACGGGGAGACAGGGGGCACATGGAGGCACCCAGTGGCAGCACCCTTCCTGTGCCGCTGTGACCACGGCGTCCTTGGCACCCACTGCCGGCAGGCCCAGGACCTGAGCCCCCTGAGCATGGCCCTCAGTGACTCCCTCCTTCCGGGGTGTGTTCCTGTGTCCAGGGTCCCCTTCGGCGACAGGGACGGTGACACGCCGCCTCCCCTGCGGCCGTCTCTGCTGGGAGCGGACCTCAGAGCATCGGGGTGCCTGGGGCGCCCACGGAGACTGGCGGGGAATGCCAGTGGGGAGGGGAGCAGGGGCAAGACCGCAGAATGTCGGGGGGTGGGGGACACAGCGAACCAGAGCATGGGTGTCCTGTCTGCATCCACTCAGTACCGTCCAGACCCACCATGGGCAAAACTCTGTCTCCCAAGAGCAGCAGAAAGTCTTCAGTATAATGAAAAACGTCTCAGTTTTTAAATGCCAACAAGTATCTCAGAGGCCAACAAACGGTCCGGGCTGACGAGTCCCATCTAGAGATGGCACGGCGGCTCCATGACTCCCGGCTAGTGTCCCCGGCACCAGCTCAGGCTGGCCTGGGTGGCCCTCGTGGCCCACAGGATGATCCCCCGCAGGGTCTGGGGCTCCAGGCTGTCAGATGGATAGTTGACAGTCTTTCTGGATGAACAGCACAGACTTCTACTCCAGGGCAATCGGCCGACACCACTGAGAAGCCCTTCCCGGGGTGGGCAGCATGACGCTAGGACGGCTGCGGCCCGGAGCCACCTGCCCCGAACACGTCTGCTCTCTGTGCTTCTATCGGCCAGCCATGCTCACTGGTACGGCCCAAATCAGGAAAAACGAAACAACCCTGATGAAATGGTCAGCTTTTCCCTAAGCACGATGAATGGGAGAAACAGACAATTACCGGTGACGTTAAAGGTACCATCCCACCCTTGAGCGAACAGGGCATAAGACCGCAGGCTCCAAGCCTCCAAACGGTCCTGCATCCAGATACTGATCAGAGGACGTCTGACTGCCCAAGGCCACGGGGACCAGGCTCTGTCAGGCTGACATCTTCCCTCGAGCACACCTTCCATGGGAGCTGATGGCAGAAGGTCCTGATGGTGCAGACAGGATGTTGCTGGGCTACAGGACAAACACGGGTGTGCCGTGTTGTGCCTGTCTGTCAGGGCGTTTGCTTGATCCACATCTGTCCATGTGAGGCCACTTGGTCTGGGCCTTGCTTCCATCATAACCTGGGGTAAAGGTGTAGGGGGGTGGCCGAGCCTCTCCCACCTCCAGGTGCTCCCAGAGAGAACGGAGGAGTCGAGCCGGCCACGCCTAACTGCCTCTCCGCTCCGGCCTCGCTTCCCCTCCGGGCATCAAGGGCAACGGCTGTAAGGCAGCAGGACGTCAACCCTCGGAACCCAGGAGCTTCGGGTGCCTGTTCTCTGTAGCCTGGGTGGGTGGAGACTCAGGACAGCGAGGAGATGGGAGCTGGGGACCCGTGACACCCAACGTGCATTGCACGGGAAGACACTCCCTCTGGAAGCTCCATCAGGCTCTCCCCCTCCCGGAAGACAGGAAGGATTCCCGGGAGCACAGCGTCCTGGCCTGGCTATAGGGGCAGGGGCAGCACGGGTGGCAGATGCGGGCCAGCGGCTGGGAGGTGCCTCTGAGGGTCCCAGAGTCACCAGCAGGAGGAACCACTTCCCCGCAAACAGGAAGGCAGCAGTGACCCCGCTGATCCGCCCGGCTGGCGTATTTGAACAAAAGTATTTATTTCAGGACTCAGGGCATTGTCGCCTCCCGGGTGGGTGGCCTCCCAGGGAGCCGGCCACCTGCAGGCATCGGGAGTGGGGGCCGCTCAGAAGCGGCTGTGTTCTGACCACGGCGGGAACAGATGGCACAGTCATCAGGCAAGTCAACTATCCCTGGAAGAAACGCAGCGACTTGCACATTTGGATGCGGGTATTTATAAAGATGACGGAAACACACCACGAGCACGATCGCTAGCGGGCCCAGCTCGGCCACTGGGTAGTTCACGTCTGGCGCTTGGGCTCCGTGAAGGAGAGCCATGTGGGGTGCCGTGCCCGGTCACCGGCGTCCGAGCAGGGCCGCCGTGGATCATCAGAACAGCAGGCGAAACCAGGGTGTGTGTGGCGTCCTGACGTGCAAACAGGACTCGGGAGCCGTTTCTGAGCGCCACACACCTGCTGCGTGCCAGGCGCTGCCGGGGGCTCTCACGCATTCTCGCGGGCCGTCAGGGGGACCCACGGGGTAAGGAGGTAGGAGCCCAAGGCACAGTAAGGAAGTAAGGCCAAGGTGCACAAAAGCCAGGGTCACACCACCAGGCAGTGGCCGGA